AAAAAGGTGGGTTCTAATCTAGTTTCTTATAAATGGGTATTGATGTTTGAACAGACGACAGAGAAGCTCAAGGCAATGTCTAACACTGATGTGAGGCACTGGACGTTTGCAGGTCTCAAACGTGAAGCCGATGGCAAATTCAAAGACTCGGATCTCGCCAAGATTCTCATGGATGCTACCGCTTCGCCTGCTGGTGCCTTTGGCGCTAGGGGTACCCCCGGGATTATGAGGACTGTCGAGATTATGACGATCCAGATGGCGAGGCGGTGGGGTGTGTGCACTCTTAACGAGTTCCGCAAGAGCTTGGGCTTGAAGCGTGAGTAAATTAATGTTATAGTTTATATGTTGTCTGACTCTGCGCTAGCATACACTACCTTCCAAGAGTGGAACCCCGATCCCGAGATTTGGGTGAGTTAATTTATGTTATATATTTTCAGTACTGACATTGTGTAGATGGCCGCTCAAGCTCTTTACGAGCAAGTCGATCGTCTCGAGCTCTATCCTGGTCTTCAAGCCGAGGATACCAAGCCTCCAGGCCCTGGTGCAGGTCTTTGCCCAGGCTACACCGTCTCTCGTGCCATCTTGGCCGACGCCATCGCGTTGACGCGTGGTGACCGCTTCTACACACACGACTTTACCCCCTCCATCTACACTTCTTGGGGCTTCAAAGACTGCCAACGCAACCCCAGCAACCCAGGTGCAGGTTCCGTCCTCGGTCCTCTGATGTTGCGCACCTTGCCCGACCACTACCCCGACGACTCTGTGTGGACGTGGTTCTCGATGATCGTGCCTACAGACATGAAGAACAACTTGATTCGTCTCGGCAAGGAAAAGAAGTACTCGTTTGATCGACCAGCTCCCCTGAACCCGATCAAGGCCGTCGAGAGTACTCCGGCTATTTACGAGATTACTAGCCGTGGTGGGCGTGGGTTCAAAACTAACTATGGTGCCAAGGCACGCGAGATTATTGATGGTGGAGGATACTTTGCATTGTTGGATGATATCCGGGGCGAGGTGCACCGTCGTGCAATTCAACAGGCCGTGTTCCATAACATCGAGCATACGGCTCCAATTGCTAGGAATATCGAGTCCAAGTTGCGCGCACTCGTTCATGTCAAGTCGTTCACCCTCGTCGGCACGTCGACGAGGTGCATTGATATCGTCAAGGACGTCATCAACTTGGCCCCTATCCACTGGATCTCGGATGTCATTGTGAGTGCGAGGGAAGACTTCTAGAGGATTTACTAATCATCTGTTATAGGGCCTTCCTTTGAAGACACATGATCACCTGAGCGGTACTGTCTTTGAACAACAGGCCGATCAGATGTTCAAGGACATTTACAGGTGAGTAGACTAGTACAAGTTACGAGATGATTTCTGACTTAAATAGCTACATCTTCCACGAGGTCGACCCGACCTTTGTCCTTAATCTCAATGACATTGTCAAGAAGCACGTCTCCTACCTCATGCGCTACATTGAGCCCCAAGTCGGAGATAGCAACGGAATCCTTCCCAGCCTCTCGTCCATCAAGGAGGCGATCGTCAGCTATTGGGTCGACCGCCGTGGTGACTGTGGCCGCTTCTATGACTCGATCGTTGCCAATGGGTTCTCCAAGACAGACGTTATGAATGACGTTCTTGCCCTTGCCGTCTTGTCCACCGTCGAGCTCTCCCATCGTACGTTCCGTGTCTCTAGAGATGACTTAAATTGACACCCGCTATAGTCTTGGTCCACGTCGTCAACTTTTATTTGGAGGACGCCAATCATGAGCACCGCGAGAGGATTGTCGCTGCTGCCTTTGGTGACGAGCACATTCCCATGAGCGAGCTTGAGGGATATGTCCGTGAAGCCATCCGTCGTGATCCCGTCACCGTTGGTGTCTTGCGTATGTGACTATTGTTTCGATAATCCAGTAGACTGACGTGTCTTTAGGCGAAGCTGTTAGCTCCGTTAGCAACAACAATATTCAGAGCGGTGATCGCGTCTTTGTCAGTCTAAAGAAGGCCATGGCCGACGTACGTTCATGCTCTTTTTTTTCGTACCAAACATCTCACTGTTTTCTAGGAGAATACCTACCCCAACGTCAATCAAATCGTCCTCAACCGCCCCAAGGACCAACGCCTCCTCCTAGGTGATGGTCTCGTCAAGCTCTTGGGCGAGGACTATGTCCTCGAAGTTGGTGCACACGTCCTCAAGGCCGTGTTCAGCCTCAAGAACCTCCGTCGTGCACCTGGTCCCTCGGGTACCCTCCGCCGCTACGTCCAGGACTGCAATGGCACGCCGCAATACTACTACCTCGACCACCCCAAGCAAAAGATTACCTTGTGGCCTACGTCTATGCT